TTCAATAAGTACAGTTTAGTGTTTAAGGTTTATTTTTGTCACTGTGCTTTTTACTGGTGTAATTACCTAACAACTAAATCCTGTGGGTGCTTAATAAAAAATGCTGGTGGACTGTTAAAAATGTGTGTAATTTGATTGTCTAGTTATGGTGTTGAGATTTGTAGCAAAGTGTTTATGCCGATTCCAAAAAATATGGTTTGGACTAGTGGGAAGATCTTAAGAGTAGCACCTTCTCAGACCTTTGGAGAATGGAGTGCTGTTGTATTTAACGGGATAGCTAGCATCAAATATATACACAAAATTATTACAAACCATTGGAAATGGTGTTACTAATCAAATTCCTATCTGTTAGAATTTTTCGGTGGCAAACTCTAAAATTTAAGTTCCTACTAATGTTTGCATTATGACTTTCTTGGCGTGGTATTTTAAATAAGCTTTAATACAATTTTAGTACCACATCATTAATTTTTGATAATTCTCAACTCCATTCCATGTACCTCAAAGCTACAGGTTTGGAGCTGTGGGAGCCTGGTCATGGATGAGGAAACAGGCCTGAAATGCCACGGGGCGTTTGGTGGCTAAGCCAGGCCTGGACCCCCTGTCTCCTGACCCACTGCCTGCTGCCGCATTTTCTCGTCTCATTATGTATGGCTGACACACTGCCTGCAGTTTTGTTCTTTCCTCAGAGCTGGAATACTTGAAGGCAGAAATCTTCATTATTTGGGAACATAGAGCCCTCAGAGGTCAACATCTGACCGGTTACCTCCCACCCAAACACCCTCCTCAGTCCCATGCAATATCTCTTTGAGGCTGCTCAGAGAGTTAGAGATCAGTATTCCCCCTCCCCCCATTTTTATTAATCTGCTTCTCATGAACTGATACAGTGAACTGATAACTAGCCTTATCATTTGCAACTGACAAAATTGCAGCCCATGCAGGAAAATGTGCTGCTTTTCCTATTTAGGACAGCTTTATTTTGAGTAAAACTTCTCATTTCAGTGGGACTTTTTGAACTTGGGAACCATCTAGTGGCCTTGACTACTGTGCATGGGATGAGAAAAGGTGGCCGAGGTCATGTCCCCTGAAGCCAGTAAGTTTCAGATTGGTAAGCATTTGTAAGCTGCAGGTGTTGGTCCACAGAAGGAAGGAAACCAGGGTGGAACTTTGGCCAGACCATTCAAGAAGACTCTTGTGTAGCTTTGTTCAGTGTCTGAAACCAACCTTCTCCCGCTTGAATAAAGTTTCCCTTAAGTAGTTCAGTAGAAATGAAATGTAGCTCATTCTCCCAGAGCTCACCAAGCAGCCCTGCCTCATCCTGTTCTGATCAGGCACTGACCTTCCATAGTCATTTGAACTGAGCACCCACTGGGGCCATGGCAGTGCCTTCTGCCTGCTCTGAAGACAGGTGTCATCTGTGTCAGGGAGGAAGGGCAAAACTAGCATTTGTGAGCTCAGAGGCCTATGGTGCAGTCACATGGGGTTTTCTTTCTTTTCTTTCTTTTTTTATTTTATTTTTTGTCTTTTTAAATAAAAGAAGAAAGACAGTTACCTTAGATTTGTATACAGATTAGGGGTCTGGTTGACTCTCTTGGTGTGTGTTACATATATAAGTTTCAGGTATGATGTATACCTGATGATACCTGCAAGTCTTTAGGTGTGTCCAGGACTAACCCAGTCGGATAGTGTTATTCAGTAATTATTTTTTGCCGCTTTAACATCGAAAAGAAACAGAACCTTTAGAAATTAAGGCAGTGTGTATATTCATGGGCTTGCTTATTTGTCACAGCATAAAACAGCCACGACCTGACTTGAGAGGCTGAAGCTGGCCTCCCAGTGTAGCAGGATCCAGTCAGAGGGCAGTGGCAGCCGTCCTGAGTCTCAAGACTAAAGTCACCTTTAGTGGTGATCTTTCTGGGGAAAAAGAGCACAGATGGACTTTGAAATCAGACAAGCATGGGTTCAAATTCTGGCTGTGGGACATCTGGTGGTTTGGTTCCCAGGCTGAGCAATAAGTTTTCCCTTCCAAGCTTGGCTGTGACGGTGGCTGAGACTGCAGTGAAGGTGGAGCACCAGTGCAGTGTCCTCCCCCTGGGCCAAGATAGGCTCTTCTCCTTCCAGCCTATCCCCTTGCTTCTCTGAGTCAGTGGGAAGGACAGATGGGAACCAGAGCTCTCTGAAGGTGAGCCTTTTGGTGATTCAAGTCACCTGGGCAAATCTGCCAACTCTAAGGCAGATTTGCTTTTAGAGAAAATTGCCCAGCAATATCATACCCAGAAGGCCCACAGCTTTGTGCCGTCAGCAGAATGGGGCACCCGCCCTCTTATTAGCCCTGGAGTAAATGGCTTCCCTGGAGTAAAGCGTATTAGTGGTGGACGTCAACCCTGGGCCCTGTGACTGACAGAGGCTGGAAGGGCACTGCCGGCACTATCCTGACACTGTGTCTAGTTATGTGGCAGGCGCTGAGAATTTGGACTAGGACGGCGCTCCTCTTGATGCCAGGCCTTGGGCCCAAGCGGGCCAAGGTGACAAGGCCTGTGGGCATGGAGCCGCCCTCATGGTTGAAGTTGGTGCTGCAGCTCAACATTCCCAAAATATGAGGGAAGGCCCCTGCTGTGGCTCGGGTGTTTTAAAACACAGTTAAGAAAAAGAAAATCTGTGTTACAGAGAATTTAGATAATTCCTTAGATTTTTCAGTGGTAAAATTTCATATTATTAAGGGTCCAAATTAATGTGGAAAAAGATACATTTGGTACATGTTCATTCCTTTCCACCCCAGGCTCCTTCTTGGTTTCCAAAACGGAGATGCACATGGTACTGGTGGAGAAATGTTCTTAAAGGAAAACATACTCCTGTGTCGTGTATTCTAATTTGCCAGCAGTGGGCTCCGTAAAACATTTTTGAATTCTTGGATGAAGGCCTTCTGCAGTCTGAGGGACCTTGTACCTGATCGTGTTTGTCTTGCAGTGTGAGGTTTTTTGCACAAAAGTCTATGCTTTTCCAATGGATTTAGACCACACCTTGTACTTGACCTGATTTGAAGTGCTTATCCTTAACAGAGGTTTTGAATAAGCTAATAACCCCACTTTATACATAGGCAGTGGGTAGTCTGCACTTAAACCCAAAAAGGGAAAGATTTGATCACCCTTTTTTTTTCTATTTAGCCTAAGCTTAGTGCATGGACAGTTTGCCAATGAAATGCATTTCTGAAAGAAAACACTGCAACTTGCATTTTTTACACATGCATCCCAGGTGGCCATCAGCATCTTTAAATGAACTTAAAAGAGTGTCATTTTGGTCCTCCTCCAAGATTCTGCTCTTTACATCCCTCTTTTCCGCCTTGTCTACCATGCCCAGTATCAAAGGACTGGGCCAGAGATCCAGGACTTTGTTCTTGCACTTTGGGCTGATAAGTTGCTCCCACTAGGTCTGCTGTTGGTGTGGTAGATTTACTGAAGACCTGCATTCCAAACTCGACAGCCTATTAGGGGAAACCTGTAACCTCCCTGAGAAATTAACTCATGTAAAAATGGGTATGAATATCTGTCCTGGCAGGTTATTGGGCGGGTTAAATGCAGCACTTCGGAGGGCACCGTGCATGCAGAGGGACGCGCATACTGGGACAACCCAGACAGCACACCAGCAGCCTTTGGCATTGGGCTGGGGAGAGCGCGTGTTGGGCCAATTCGCTCTTCAATTAAATATGTAAAAATACAACTTCTGTCTAAAAGAACCACTGAATATACTAATCAGAGCTAGTGTTTGTGGGCATGGCCATGTTTATAAGGTGGATTTTTTCAGTAAGTGACATGTAAGGCCAAAAATGAGAAATAAGACTTCCTGGTCAAGATGTCAGTCCAGATACCAGAATTTCAAGTTCAAAAGAACTCATCATTTTATTGTAAACCCTTAGTAGAAAAAAGGGCATAAACATCCTTGTATACCTTTTACATCTGGCCAAAATCTAGTTTTCCCATGTTTGGTTATCACCTTTTCCTTGCATTAAATCATATTTTTAAAAAAAAATATCATGCACCCTTTAAAATAGCGCTAGAGAACACATAAAGAGGATGAAGTTTTTAATCAAAATTTATGAACTTGCCTTATAACATTTTTATGATACCCCTACTTATCTTTTTCCACTTGACTAAAATAGAATCCGATTCTTCTATGGAGTATTTAACGTTTGGGTCATAATCAAGTAGGAATGAATTAATAGATCTTGCTGAGTGAACTGTCAGGGCAGATCCCTTCTGGGTTTGAAATGCAATTAAAAATGTCAGTGAGCTCACTTGGAGGTCCACAGACCTTCAGAGTTCCCTCGAAAATGTTAGGCAAGGGCTGAAAGTAGCTACTCAAGTGTAGGGACCGTAAGGTGAAAGCAATCTCTCCACAATCAGGAGGGAGAGAGCTGTAGTCACCTGCCAGACTTCTTGTCCTAACTTCTTTGTAGTTTGAGGATGTTAATATCAGATTTCCTGCAGGGATGTTTTTGGCAGGAGGCTGTGGGTCCAGTAGGTGGCCTCCCTCAATAAATAGCCAATGCAAGAGACTCCAAGACAGGAATGAGTCTCTAAATTATTTCTGTGTTCTCTGCAACCCAGCTCCCTAATTAGGCTCCCAGACATGCTTCCTTCCCACTTGGCAGCCTCCCTTTTGTTTTTGGGAGGCTTTGAGAGGTGTGGATAGAGAGCACTGGGGTAGGGATTCTGAAAAGACTTGGGAACTATGTAGGGTCCCTGGTTTATGGCCTGCTGTCCCCACTTTCCTCATCCCTTCCATCCTCAGAGTGTGTTACAGAGAATGGCTTCAGAGCTGATCTGGGGATACAGGGTGGAGAGGTGGGAGCATTTTTCTTTGGGTAGAGGTCAGCAGATAACAAAGCAACATTTTTCTGGGGTTTATTAAAAAATATTTGTGGCAAATACTCAGTTATTTCTCAAGCACTTACTTAAAATCAAATAAACAAGTGTTTTAATGTACGATTTTCAATTTCTTTTCAGATTTCATATGTTCCTTTTCTAGAAATGATCTCCGAGACCATAATTCTCTTTTGAGATTTGAGTTGGATTTCAGAATTTGGAGAATTCCTGCAGCTTTGTAACTTCAGAAGTGTAATCAGCTGAAAAAATCACCTTAGAGGAGTTCTGCATTTTGCCAGTCATCTCTGAATGCCAAAAGTAAGTTTTTGCTTTTCTACTTTAAAACAGGGGGGAGAAGTTGCTGCTTTTGCCTGAAATACTTAATTTGCACAGTAGGTTTTACATTAGTAAAATGACATTAAATGTAGCCTCGATTTGATGAGCCCCATAATATTTCCATTTTCAAGGGATTTGATTCAGAAATTGCATTCACTATTCCTACTTTTAGGGCATGATGGCATTGAGTAGCTAGGAAGCACAGCGTGGGTGCCTCCAACCTGTAAAACACCGTCGTGTCCAGCTTTGCGGCCCAGCAGCTCATTCTTGCCTCTGTACAGGTTGGGACCTCCTGCATGTGGTATTGGGAGTCCTAAGATAAGGAGCAACTGCCCCCAGGACGCTTTTAGTCTAGATAGGTTTCACTCCAACTTCAATGCTGAAAAGAGAAGTCTGCATCAAAAGATGCAAACAGATAAAGGTTCTGAGGGAAGTTTATCTCTTTGTATGAGAAATATACTTGTGTATGTTAAAATAAAACAGTGTCTCTTTAGAGTGTCTGTAATATAGCATGTGGATTCTGAGATCCAGGGGCTCTATAATGACAGATAGGAGACAAAATCATATCTTTGTAGAACACAAGTATTTCTTAGCCCTAACAGATCATTTGGGACATTTGATTGATTGATTGATTGATTTTTATTTTTTAAAAGATTATATTTATTTTTAAGAGAGGGGGAAAGGAGGGAGAAAGAGGGAAAGAAACATCAGTGTGCAGTTGCTCCTCACATGCCCCCTATTGGGGACCCAGCCTGCAACCCATGCATGTGCCCGGACTGGAAATTGAACCGGTGACCTTTTGGTTCACAGACCGGCACTCAGTCCACTGAGCCACACCAGCCAGGGCAGGGACATTTGAATTAGAATGCAGTGGTAGTCTGGCTCATCTGGTGTTCTGTTTCTGGTTGGCAGTAAGGAGTGCTTCATGGGAAGGCACGATTCCACCTCCTGATTACTGTCTCACAGCTGTAGGGATAACACCCAAAAATTAGCTTTCCTTTGGAACCTTGTTTTGGTTCTGTCATTTGCAAATTGTTTTAAACTATTCTAGACTCCTTAACTTTGGACTATAAAAATCTCATGGTATGACTTCTGTACATTTATTAGTTTAGTAGAAATTTGAATTTTCTTTTATTTGGTCTAAAACTACTACTAAAAATGTTGTAATTCCCCCTTGAACAGTTTTTTTTTGGTGAGGGCAGTAATGAGGAGCCGGTTCTTAATGTCACTTATGCTCTCCTGTGATGTGTGCCAACCAGAATGGCACAGGATTAACATATAGTATTTCATAAAGGTAGGATTAAGTGTCTGAATGTCTTCACCTTATTATCCTTGATGATTTCTTTTGGAGAAAATGACACATTGTCCTATTTATTTAGGGTATTGCTCACTACGATTTCCAGGTCTAGGCCCCGATGTGGAATGGAGAGCTTGGCCCTCCTGTTATACAGCCTGATTCCAAGCCGTCCTCCTTCTCCTTCCCCCTGTACTTTAAGCTACTCTGATCCTGTCCTCGCAGGACATTCTTGGCTCTCATTAGCTTTACATCTGCCACCCCCACCCCAGCCTTGATAGGGAACTCCTAGCTGTCTCTTCAGATCCTATGTGAGACAAACACCATTGGGGTGTTTCATGACCAATCCCAGGAGATTTCCATTACATTAAAAAAAAAAAATACCAAAAAACTCTTGTTACCTATATGGACTCAATTTTTTTAATAGTCATGGCAGTGAAACCTTTTAAGACATAGTCATTTATAAATGCAGTCACATGTTTTTTTGGCAATATAAGCTAGAAATTAGTTCAAAACCGTTCATCAGTATTCATTAGTAATTCATCAGTAACAGACTCTGACACTACTCCTTTAGAAAGTTCTTGATCATCAGTGACATTAATAGACTTGAAGTTATGATCAGGGCCCTCTTTTAGAAAGTAGTGAGGCAGGGGAAGTAACAGACTCAGTCAAGGCAGCATGTCCTGCACAAACTCCCAGCCAGAGCCTGTTACTGTTCTGCAAACAGGAGGTGATGCCTGGGTGTGGTTAGGTGAAGAGCTATATATACACAGATTGTCATGAAAATAGACTTAAAAAAAATTTCTTCCTCTATAATTTCAAAGAATTATTATCTTACAAGTTCTGAGTTCTACACCAGAAACCTGATATACTTGTTAAAAATTACTTTTGTGGTTTAGGAAAATGTTTAGTGGGAAATCATTGGATATGTCCATTCATATAATAAATATTTATTGTGAGCACCAGCTGAATTTTAGGCTATTTTTCTTTCAGTGACTATTTTTAACGCTGTCTTTTAGCAGCTACAAAAATAGTTAGAATACAGTTTTAGACACGGATGGGGCAGAACCCTGACAGCTCCAGGCCTGTGCTAACTGCTGTAGTTGATGTTCTTACCGCGAGTCTCTGGTTCCTGAGGCAGGGTGAGCTGACCCTTAGAAAGGAGTCTGAAAAAGCCAAAAAATGTTGTGTTAAGTGAATGTTAAAGAACGAGGGGATGTGTGGGCAGGGGCATAATGGGTCCTTCCTTGGCACGGGCAGGCTGGTGGATTAGCCAGGTAATGGGCCCTAAAGTCTCCAAGTCACTTGAGCAATAATAGGTCAGGCCCCAGGCATATGCCATCTGGTCAGTGGTCTTTGAAGTATCTGTAGGAAAAGTGATATAACTTGGTCAGCGTTATCATTTGCCATGTCTTGGGAAGAATGAAAGCAATGCTAGCCTGGTAAAGTGATGGGACTTCAGCCCTGGGTGCATTTCCCAGTTGTTGGGTGTTAACAGGTTTGTGCTATCCTAGCTAGACCTACAGTGGGGCTGGGCCAAGGGGAGCATTGTGAGTGGGTGGGAGGGTGTCTAAGCTGCATTTTGGAGCAGCCTGAGTGGGGTCCCTGAGCCCCTGTTTTCTTGCCCCACATACTCACCTCCCAGGAGCCTCCCCACTTTGAGGTTAAAGAGCTAAGTCTTCTGAACCCCTGGGCCTGATCCTTGCCCACTTTGGAGAGTGGAGACCATGGGAGGAGTCTGGTGGCAAAGCTCTTCCTTTTCCACTGGAATTGTTAACAGATGTGTAATCTGCACTTAATTCTTCCCATATATAATTGAAAATTGACTGCGATTCACTGTTGTTGGAGGCTGGCTAGCATTTACTGGGGAGAGAGAATGGGAAGGGTGTTGTGTGCCATGCTGGAAATTTTTAATCCTTTGAAAAACTTTTTGGAGAGGGGAGAAGTCTAAAAGGTAGGAGGATGTTGGTGTTGTAAGGGAGGACAGATGAGTGGCTTAGGTGACAAGATTCATGCTAAATAAGTAAAGAGGACCTGGATTTCACAAACTGTCAGTTGCTGATATGAATATCCAGAGTGGAAATGTTGGCAGTGAGGCTGTACATGATATTTTCTTTTTTTTTTAAGCTTTACTAACATATAATTGACAATAAAATTGTAAGATACTTAAAGTGTACATAGTGGTGATTTGGTATGCATATATGTTGTGAGAAAATTCCCACTATCTGGTTAACACATCTATCACCTTGTACATTTGTCCTTCTGTTTGTGAGAACATTGAAGTTCTATTCTCTTAGCAAATTTTAATGATACAGGGTTAACAACTATAGTCATTATGCTATACATTGGATTCTCTGACCTTATTCATCTATAGCTGAAAGTCTATATTCTTTTATCAACTTCTCCTTATTTTCCCCACACTCCAACCCTGGGAACCACTTCACTACTCTGTAAGTTTGTAAGTTTGACTTTTTTTTAGATTTCACATATGTGACATCACACAGTAATGGTCTTTCTCCATCTGGCTTACTTTCATTGCATAGTGCCCTCAAGGTCCATCCATGTTGTAGAAAATGGCAGGATGTCCTCCTTCCTTGTGGCTGAGTTATATTCCATTATGTGTGTATGTGTATATATCATATTGTCACATACACATATATACATTACCTCTGCATTCATTCTTCTATGGATGGACACTCAGATTATTTCCTTATCTTGGTTATTGTAAATAATGCTGCAATGAACATGGAAGTGCAGATACCTTTTTGAGATCCTGTTTTCTTTTGGGTATATAACCAGGAGTGACATTGCTGGATCATATGGTAGCCCTACTTTTAAATTTTAAAAGAACTTCTCTACTGTTTTTCATAGTGGCTGCACTAGTTTACATTGCCACTAACGGTGCACAAGGGTTACTTTTCTCCACATCCTCACCAACACTTATCCCTTGTCTTTTTTTTTTTTTTTTTTTTATGTTTTACTCTTGTTCCAATAATTTTCTCTTTGTCCCACCCTGCACTTCTGTAGTCACTCCCCACCCCATTGTCCATGTCCATGGGTCCTTCATATATATGTTCCTTGAATAATCCTCTCCACCTTCTTTCAAACAGTGCCCTCCCTCCTCCCTCACTTATCCTTGTCAGTCTTCTGTGATTCTGTGTCTGGTTCTATTATGCTTATTAGTTTATTTTATTCATTAGAGTCTTCTTATGAGTTAGATCATATGGTAATTGTCTTTCATTGACTGGCTTATTTCACTTAGCATGATAGTCTCCAGTTCCATCCGTGCTATCACAAAAGGCAGGAATTCCTTCTTTCTGCTGCATAGTATTCCATTGTGTAAACATACCACAGTTTTTTGATCCGCTCATCTACTGCTGGGCACTTAAGCTGTTTCCAACTGTTGGCTATTGTAATAGCACTGCTGTGAACATAGGGGTGCTTAAGTTTTTTTGAATTGGTGTTTTGGGATTCTTCCAATGTATTCCCAGGAGTGGAATTGCTGGGTCAAAAGCCAGTTCCATTTAATTTTTTGAGGAAATTCCATACCGTTTTCCACAGTGGCTGCACCAGTCTGCTTTCCCATCAACAGTGCACTAGAGTTCCCTTTCCTTCACATCCTGGTCAACAACATCCTTGTTTGTTGATTTATTAATGATAGTCATTTTGGCAGGTTTGAAGTGGTATC